GACCAGAAACAATGAACAGTGTGTGGAAGAAGATTTGGCCAGAGTGTGTTCAGTTCCAGAGTGTTTCCCAAACAGATAACATTGCACAGCTTCAACAAAATATTGTGACCCTTGCCAAGAATGTGGCTTTTGAAGAGGTTGTAGAAGCTGATGTGGACCAGTTGCTGAGGTCCCACGAGGAAGATCTCTCAAATGAGGAGCTGATGCAGCTGGAACAGGAGCCTGCAGGAGAGCAGGAGAGTGAAGATGTTCCACCTGCCCTGCGCCAATTAACCACAGGAGAGCTGTCAGCAGCCTTCTCACATTTTGAGGCAGGCTTGCAAGTCCTTACCAGTAACAGCCCTGATGACGAGTGGAAACTGCAAGTTTCAAGAGCAATCAATGATGCAATAAACTGCTACAGGGAACTGTACAAGGAGAAAAAGCGACGCTCTGAGCAACTCTCTTAGATCAATTTTCAGTGGGTGTAACCAAACGTTCATCAAAGTACAGCCAGATGCAACAAGATGACCTCAAGGGATGAGGCCCAGCCAAGCCTCTCTACTTCCAAGATGCTTTACATCTCTGGAAACTCTGCTTCTGGTATTTTCATTTTGACACTTGAGAGTATCAAATTTTGTCATTAAAATTTCATTTAAATAGGTGCTTTAGAATAACTGCATGCAAGAATACCCAGGAAAATATTTCTTTAAAAAGAGAAAACTGCAAAGAGGAGACTATAAAGCTTCTGTGATTAAATCAGTGCAGTAGTTAGACCTGTGGAATAAGATAGAAAGCCCAGAGTTTTGTCTTGTTTTTTTTTTTAATGGTGCAAGACAACTGGTTAATCATTTGGAAAAAGATAAAATTAGATCCATGCCTCACAGCATACATAAGAATGAACAAACAGATCAGGGATCCAAAAAGTAAAAAATGAAACCATACGAATACTACAGAAACACATAGATGAATGCCTCTTTGACCTGGTGGCTGGGAAATTTTCTGACTTAAAATCCGGATGAGGGGCGCCTGGGTGGCTCAGTCGTTAAGCGTCTGCCTTCGGCTCAGGTCATGATCCCAGGGTCCTGGATCGAGCCCCGCATCGGGCTCCCTGCTC